CTGCAGGGCTTATGGGCTGTGTGTGTGTGTGTGTGGGGGGGGTGATACCCCCTTAGTTCCTTAGAGGAAGGTGCTGTCCCTCCCCCCCCACATGCTGCACCCCTGTGTGGATAGTGTAGGGGAGTGGTGAGCAGTGGGTTTGTTATGTGGGGACTGGGAGGATTGTTAGAATGTGGGTGATCTAGGGTAGTGAGATGGCTTCATCTGGTATGGGGAGTCCACGGGCTCTGGAGGCCTGGGGCAGTTGGCATCAGGTTGTGGGGGGGGGGTAGGTGGACAATGGCAGTATGGGATAATGGACTGGTTATGTGAGGGCAGGAGAATGTGGTGTAGGGAGCTGGTTACATGGTACGAAGAAGTTCAGAGGCTCTGGGGAAATGGAGCACTTGAGGGTCTGGCTGGTGGGTTGGGTTTGTTATTTGGGAATGAGGTAAGTTGAGGGGGCAACTGGCAGGTTATGTGGTGGAGGAAGTCCTTTGGGGAAAGCATGTTTGGTTACATAGGGAGGGGTAAGGGAATTCATCAGGTGCAAGGCCCACAGGGGACAAGGGTCGGCTGGCTCGATGGAGTATAAGATTTGGAGGGCTGTGGTTATGGCTGCTGGGGTGGGGAGCAATTAGAGAATGAGGGTCAGTGAGGTGTTTATTTGTTGTCTGCAGTTTGCTTGTAGGGTGTAAGTGGGGCAGTTGACCAAGTGGGTTATCAGGTGTTTGGGGGCAGTCTGGTTGTGGGTAGGCTATTGCACAGGCTGTGGATGAGGCAGTTTGGGGGCATGAGTTGGGGAGATTGGAGGGCAGGTTGAGGTGTCTGTAGTTCTGGGACAGTTGTGGGGTTTAAAGGCTGTGGGAAAGAGAGGCCTGGCTGGGGATGTGCCTGGTCTTGGGGAGGGTGGGTTATGTGTGGGGCAGTTTGAGAGTCTGTGGGGAATGGTGTGTGTGGAACAGTTGGGGAGTGTGCTGGGAGGTGGAGGTAGTTGTGGGACATCTCGTTTTACTGCAATTGGTGGTGGTGGCTTGTGTGGAGTTTGCTTGAGGAGGCCGGGGTGGTGTGTCTGATTTAGGGTGCTTGAGGGGGAGGGATTTCTACCATGACCCTTGGTCTGATTTAGGGTTCTTGAGGGGGAGGGATTTCTACCATGACCCTTCCCTGGCTCAAACTGGGCATTTGACCATGTGCTGAGAAGCCCATGAGCATTTGGTGCTGCACTTTGGGTGTGGCACTTCAGGGGAAGGGAGCAAGAAGGTTGGCCCCTTTCAGTGGGGTGGGGTTTTTCTCAGGGTCTCTATTTTATAATGTCCTCCCCACTTCCCACTCTGGGGTGTGTCCCATGAGGGGGTATGATCTTGCACTGAGATCACCATACGTTTGGGTTACGTTGGAAGGTGGGAGGCTGTCTGCCTGTCCTGGCAATGCCATGCCCACGCCAGTACCTGGCTGTTATGCTGCCTGGGCATGTGGCTCAGCTATCCCTCAAGCCTGGTAAATGCTGCCCATGCTTAGCTATTGATGTTCCAGGCTGGAACCTGTTACCAGGCATTGGCAGTACTGCTGTTAAACCGGACCCTGTCCGAGCAGATGGTTGGCAGGTGGTGATGGAAAGGCTCTGGGTTCTAATGGTGTAGGGTTTGGGCTTGGGCTTGGCCCCGGCCCTGGGGAGCTGCAGCCTCGCAATGTTGCCCAAGAATGCAAATGGCTGTGGACAAGAGGAGTGCATTGGTGACAGGGAGGTGGCTGGGGAGACAAATCCCCTGCTATTCAGGGCCTAGACTAGGGTGGGGGCAGGAAACCCCATGGCAGGTGAGTATGAAACAGCTGAGACAGTCTAGGTGAGGCAGCCCTCTGAGGGAGGAGCTTAATGGTGCTTTCGGTGAAGGTGGCCCTGGGGCTCATGTAACGTTTATGAGGGTTCAGCCTGTCCTTCCTGAGTACCTGCCTGTTTCCCCCCATTTCCCCATGACGGCTTCAGTCTCCGTTCTCTTGGCAGATTACGTCTATTTTGAGAATTCCTCCAGTAACCCTTACCTCGTCCGGCGCATTGAGGAGCTCAACAAGGTGAGAGGCCGTGGGACCACAGCCGGAGATATCCACCCATCCCCTGCATGCACCCCTTGGGACCACAAGACCACAGCCTGCCCACGCCCCCTCCCCTGGCTACTAGCCATGCACCAGAGGCCCACCCCCGCTACCTCCCTTGGGCTGTGAGATCAGAGCTAGACATCCATCCCCCCCTCTTACACCAGAGACCTGCTTGGCTTGGGACAGATCTCCCCAAAAGGTTGGGATCTATAGCCAGCCTCCAACTTGGGGAATTTGCAGCCAGGCCCCTCTCTATAGGAGAGCTCCATTGGCCAGATTGAAAGCTTGCTCCTGGGGGCATTGCAGCTGCTCTGAGCCTGACATTTTTAAGTATGGGAGGGGGTTGGGATCACCAGTGGTTGCCTGAGTGCCCTGGCAGGGGATGGGGTGGGTGCACTGAGTGCTGTGGCTGGGGTGTGGGCGTGTTGAGGAGCAGCTTCCAGGGTACAGCAGTGCCAGCCCCTACTCTCAGGCAGTGTCCTGCTCTCATCCCTAGACAGCCAATGGCAATGTGGAGGCCAAGGTGGTGTGTCTTTTCCGGCGCCGGGACATCTCCAGCAGCCTCAACAGCCTGGCTGACAGCAATGCTCGTGAGTGCTGGGGCCCATCCCTGTGGCTCTACCTGCAGGCCCTGGACCTCTGGGGGTATCCCTGGGGGAGTGGAGGTCTTGGGGGCTCTTAGATCTGTCTCAGGCTAGCAGGAGGTTGGTCTATCTTTAGGGATGGAATAGTAGGACCATGCAAAGGGCAGGGGACAGTCCTGCGTTGTTGGGAAGCAATGGATCTGTCTCAGGTGTGAGATCTTGGAAAGTGGAATGTGTGTGGGTGTTGTTGAGGGTCTTGGGTCTACCTCAGGGCATGTGGGGAGGTTGGTGGTGGCCAGTGGGTAGGGCTCATGGGAGCAACTTATGGCCCCATCCTTACAATGCAGCGCAGACATGGCAGCAGCGACTGCCAGCCAGAACTAGTGGGTGAAAGGCTGCCTTGCCTGCCCCTCCTTGGGCAGCTCCCTGCCTGCCTGGCTAGGAGAACTGCCAGCACTTTCCCAACCCTATCTTGTCCTTTCCCTCTCCCTAGGCTGCAGGCACTGGGAAAGGGTGGCATTAACCCTTGACATTGATAGTATGGGATAGGGGTTGTTTCCAGCACATAGTACAGCCAGGGTACCACATCTGCCAGTCACATGTGTATTCACCCTGCACTGGGCAGTGCCCAACGGTCTGTGAAGGGACTTGCAGGGCCCAAGATTTTGACGTTTCATCCCAGTAGCACTGAGGTTAAACATGCTCGGCAAATGCCTCCAGCCAGACCTGTGGGGAGGGGTGGGTGTGTGTGTGTGTGTGTGTGTGTGTGTGTGTGTGTGTGTGTGTGTGTGTGTGTGTGTGCCCGCAGCGAGCGGCTGCGGTGGGTGTGTGTGTGTGTGTGTGTGTGTGTGTGTGTGTGTGTGTGTGTGTGTGTGTGTGTCCCAGTCCAGAGCTGCTGCAGTAGGGGGCTGCAGGCTGGGAGTGAGGGGCATCAGCACAGCTGTAGGAGGGTCAGGGGCTGTGCATCAGGAGTGAGGGTGCTGTGGGTGGAGCTTGCCCAGCTCTCTCTAGCCCCTAGTGTATGAACCTGGTGCAGCATGGGGGCCATGGGCAGTGCAGGGTTAACAGGCTGCGGGAGCTCTTCCGGTTGGGGCCTGTGCTGGCTGCTCGCCTGGGCTTGGGGTTTCCGGGCCTGTTTGGTGGGGGCTGCTCTTGATTCTGCCCGAGTGGTGGGTAGGAGTGGGACTGAGTTCCAGGGAGCTGCCCCCATGTATTCCCGCCCCCGTCCCCACAGGGTTTCCTGAACACTGAGCAGGGGTGGAATCAGCACCACCCCCTACTGGGCCGCTGCCAAGTGCTGGAGACGGCTGGGAGAACAATGAGCTTCTTGGCAGTGGCTGCAGCTTGGCCACTTCCTGCTGTGGGGAGGGATGGGCCTCTGAGGATAGGGGGCAGTGTGCACTGCTGAGGGGTTCTGGGGGTGCATCCTGTTCTTGAGCAGTGGGGGAAGGTTAGTCAGGGGGCACTACGTTCTGGTGGTTATTGGGCAGGGGAAGGAGGGGGTGATGTTCGGCTTCTCAGAGGAGGGGAGGTTAACCCCAGGCAGGTGCTCTGTTCCAGGGGAATTATGGGGCCATTCTGTTCCTGGGTGGGGAGGAGAGGCTTAATCCTTGGGGGGGTTGCACTGAGGTTAAACATGCTCAGGGGAAGGAGGGGGTGATGACACTGGTGGGGGCATGCTGGGGAGTGGGCCTGGGGGTTGAGGTGGTGGGGTTGAAAGCGCCCTGACCTTCATGTCCTGCCACAGGGGAGTTTGAGGAGGAGTCGAAGCAGCCAGGGGTGTCAGAGCAGCAGCGGCATCAGCTGAAGCATCGTGAGCTCTTCCTGTCGCGCCAGTTTGAGTCGCTGCCAGCCACCCACATACGGTGCGTGGGGTGGCCTGCTGGGCCAGGTGCTAGGGCTCTTCGGAGGGAGGGGTGCTATTCTGGGTTTCATGCTTCATTGTTGCCATCTCCCAAGTCTGTTCTCTGGGGTGGCCCGGCACCAGGCCCGCTGTACAGGTAGAGGTGGGAGCCCAGGGTGGGCTGGCTTTGCTACTGTTGGGTCTGATGAGGTGTGGGGATCCCCCAGGGCGCCAATCCAGGGGAAGGGGAGCCATGGAGCCAGCGAGTGATTTGGCCTGTGCTTGAATCCTGCAGGGGGAAATGCAGTGTCACGCTGCTCAACGAGACTGACATCCTCAACCAGTACCTGGAGAAGGAGGTAAGGGGCTGGGCCCTGCAGGGGTTGAGGGCTATACTCAGCCCTTGGAACTGGTCAGGAGGTGAGGGCAGGAGGAAGGAGGACTTGCCACTTAGCTGCAGATGAGAAGCCAGGCCAGAGCTTTCTTGAGGGGCTACGAAGAGCCATCTCCACGTGGGGAAGGATTGGGGGAAGGCCAGTCTACTGGGGTGCTCTGCCTCACCCGCTGCCCCTTCCCCAGGATTGCTTCTTCTACTCGCTGGTTTTTGACCCTGTTCAGAAGACGCTTCTGGCCGACCAGGGGGAGATCCGGGTCGGCTGCAAGTACCAAGCTGAGATCCCTGACCGGCTGGCTGAAGGTGATGGGGGAGGGTGTCTCACTGCCCCGGGGGAGGGGGGGTGGGGAGATCAGTCTCTCTCTCTCTCTCTCTCTCTCTCTCTCTCTGAGTTGTGTCCCAGGGGAGAGGCTCTGTGCCTAGGGGAGCCATGGGCCTAGTCTGCCTCTCTGTGGTGACTGTAGGTGAGGGGTGCAGCATTGTCTGTCCTGACCTGGCCCCTCCCAACAGGTGAGTCGGACAATCGGAACCAACAGAAGATGGAGATGAAGGTCTGGGACCCCGACAACCCACTGACCGATCGACAGATTGACCAGTTCTTAGTTGTGGCTCGGTGAGATGCCAGCCTAGGAGGGTAGGGGTATGGGGGAAGGGTCCCTTGTTCATGTGGAGTCCCCTTGGGCTCTGGGGTGTTGCTAATTTATGTCTCTCCCCAGGGCTGTCGGGACTTTTGCTCGAGCTCTGGACTGCAGCAGCTCCATCCGGCAGCCCAGTCTGCACATGAGCGCAGCTGCTGCTTCCCGGGACATCACACTGGTGAGGAGGAGATGGGGGTGGGGAACAGGCCATGCGACTAAGTCCAATTGCAGGGTGTCCCTGCTAGGGATGTCAAATCCCATTTAAAATATTAACTGGTTAAACTATATGTTTAACTGTCCCACTGCGTAGAGCTGGAGCAGCCTGCCCCACAGGGCCTGCTGGGTTTTGCTGCAGATGGGGTGGTTGCTCTGGCTGGGCTGGGCACCAATTACCCCTTTACATCCCTAGTCCCTATTCCCACTAGCTGCTGGAGGGGCCCATACAATCGGAGCAGCCTGTACCACAGGGCCTTCCAGACTGTGCTGTGGATGGGAGGGATGCTTGGCTGGGCTGGGTGCTGGTTACCACTTTACATCCCCAGTCCTATCCCCACTAGCTGCTGGAGGGACTCCTACAGTCCAGGTTGACTTGCTGGGTGTTAGAGGAGCTTGAGAAGCTGCCTCAACCTCCTGACTTCAGGTTGGAGGCCTCTGGCTGCCCCCTGCATTGAACCCCTCTCACAGGCTGCTGGGGGTGGCTTAGAGCCTTGGCAACCAGGAGTGACAGCTTGCTCATGCTGCTTTCCCCACAGTTCCACGCCATGGACACGCTGCAGCGGAATGGCTATGACCTGGCCAAGGCCATGTCAACCCTTGTGCCCCAGGGGGGCCCGGTGCTATGTCGCGACGAGATGGAGGAGTGGTCAGCCTCCGAGGCCATGCTCTTTGAAGAGGCACTGGAGAAGTACGGCAAGGACTTCAACGACATCCGACAAGACTTTGTGAGTGGGGCTTGATGGGACAGACCTGCCTGGGATCACTCCCCAGGCACCCAAACTGGACTGCTCCGTCAGGAGAGGGGCTGGAAGTCCTGGAGATTGGTCCTGCACTGGCTTAGGGTGCTGGGGCACTGCTGTTTCTCCTTCCTCCTATGACTCCTGGGGCTGGATGCATGGGCTCTCCTGGCACTATCTGACAGTCTTTCTGGTTTTTGCAGCTGCCCTGGAAGTCCCTGGCCAGCATCGTACAGTTCTACTATATGTGGAAAACCACAGACCGCTACATCCAGCAGGTGAGCGTGGGGTGTCTGTGTCTGGGCCTTCCTCCCACGGCACCAAGGTGAAGGGGCTGGAGAGGAAGCATCTCCTCCCCTGCTTACACTCTGTCTCTGTTTGCAGAAAAGGTTGAAGGCAGCTGAAGCTGACAGCAAACTGAAGCAGGTCTACATCCCCACCTAGTAAGTAATGGGGGTGTTCTCCCACGCTGAGTATGGGGGGTTTGTGTAGGGATGTTGTGTAGAGTTATTGTTGCTTCCCCCTTCCCCTGTCTTGCTGTGTCTCTGATAGAGGCAACAAAGGGAACAGAAGCTGGTGTTGGAGGGAGCCAGCTTAAACCTGGTTCCCTCCAGCACTGTCTCTGGGATGTTGCCTACTCCCCCTGCCTGACAGAGGCATCGGGGCGGGGGGGAGGGGCAGATAGGGGAGGCTGCTGCGAAGC